TGCTGCAAAACCACCAAATGACAAAATTTAATATCAGATGCACATAGGTATACGGTACCCATCTGTGCAATGTAATGGGACATATGTGATAGCTAACTGATGCATGCTGATGCTCAAACTGAAGTACAGAAATTAAAGAAAAAAAAGAGAAGCGAAAATGAAAGATAAGAGATGACATACAGACAAATAAACAAACAAAAGCTGGAGTTGGAGCTGGAGCTGGAGCTGGAGGTGAGCGGTGTGAGTAGTGGTGAGCGGCGCGGCAGAGGAGAAGAGACTGACTGGAGTAGGGTGGGATAGCAATTTGCAAGAAGCGGCAATTGGATTTCATTCTGCATCTAGGGTTAGCCGGTTATGTATATTGGATTTCCTTCTGCTTGTAGGGTTCTGTAATTGGACTGTAAATTGGGCTATAAATTGGGTTGGGTAATTAGGTTTAAGAATATTAGATTAACAAAAAAAAATTGGGTTGGGCCAACAATTGGGTTTGAAAAAATTAAAAAAAGAGTGGATTGTGAAATTTAAGTTATGTTGGTATTGGGTTAACTAATTAAATTGGATAAATTCCAATAAAAAAATTAAATTGGATAAATAAAAATTAATTGTTAACATATGTACAAAATATATATATAAATAATTTTTTTTATACGGATCCCCACGGATCCCCATGGAGTGGAGAAAATTTCCCGCGAAATTTCACAAGTAAAAAATTACCTCCATCCCCGCCCCACGGGTAAGAATACTCTTGGAATCTCCATCCCCGTGGCGGGGATCTCCACGGAGCTCCGCGGGTCGCGAAGAAAATTGCCATCCTTACTCATTTCACCGTTTTTGTTGCTTCTACTTTCTTCTTGCTGACACTACATCTAATCTCCTTTCGCTTCCATAGTTTTTTTTTTTTTTTTCCTTTGATTTACTGCTCCCAAGTCCTATTCCAAGGGGATGACAGTAGTATTGGTGTTGGGCATTGAAATTGGATCTAATTTTTTACTTTTCTTTTCAATTTCTTTTATTTTTATCATTGATCTGTTTCAACTCCGAGCTTTTCTTTTTCTTGGTATGCCATTAAAACTCAGAAACAAAATTGAAGCATCTGTTGGCGATTGAAACGCAAAAAAGTAGATACCGAAGAATGGGGGAAACTGAATGTTTCGGATAATATCGAAACTGTTTGAAAAAGCCGAAACTGACAAATACCCGAAACAGTAAAACCAATATTTTTTGGTTTGGTATTTGGTGCTGCATATTGCCTAACCGATATTTTGGTTAACCACCTAATCAGTCTCGGTTCAAACCGAAACTGACCGAATCCCAGCCTACTTCATGTTGTCACTTTGCAGATTTGGCAGATATTTGAATACTGCTTGCTCCACCTCTGGGCATTATTTATTCTTTGGTTTTTCGAATTTATACTTTTGAGGTATAGAGTAAGAATATTTTTTTATTATAAATATACATATAAAAAAATTAATTTTTTTAATATAAATTTATGATAAAAAATTTTTTCATTTGTGCTCTTAAAATACTGATTAAACAATCCATTTATACTTTGGTAATTCCTCCATTTCTTGATCTTTTAAAAAGCAACTTACAGTTTCCCAGTCTAGTGCGAAGGTTGAGTACCGTGCCATTACAAATGTGGTGGCAGAAGCTACTTGGGAGATGCAATTGCTTTCTGAATTATATGTTCAGGTTCCTTCCTGCTCTGAAAATGATTATTGTAATAGGGTTTTTCTAATTTTATT